GTGGTTATAAGGGGAATATTTGTTTCGCGTGACAGATTATTTATTAACATCACAGAAACTCAGGTCAAAGAAAGAATATCAGAACAGTACCTAAAATATTGAACTGTATGTAAAGAACATTTACATTACGATTATCACACTTACACGGTGTAGTGACGCTGCACATCTCAATGGTGCAGGCCACATGACCAGCTGCTCGACCCTCTGGGTCCACGAAGGTCCTCTCCTCTCCAGTAACCAGGTCACATGGTACACCCTGAAGCACACAGAGAAAGTGCAATTAATGTCAGTATTAATAGAAACTAAGACACCTTGAGAACCTACACAATGTGACCTTTCTCCACACACAAACACACTAGGACACATGAAAAGACTGATGTTTACACAGGAGCACAGTTACGTACAGCATCGTTGCTCTTCTCAAAGATCTCGTGGGCCAGCAGCTTCAGGGGGCCACAGTACACACCAGACTTAGCAGCCAGGTAGCGTTGGATGGCATGGTAGGTTTTACCACTGTTAGTTGGCCCAGCGTGGAAAATCACCTTCCTCTGGATGGCACGAGCCTCGGGGTACCTGGCGAGCACATAAATATGGTTTGGTAGCGGAAGCCAGAAAGCTTCTTTTAATGCGACGTGTGTGGCGTTTGATCGGGTTTAAAATACACACCAGTTGGCCGGGACCCTGAGGTCTGAGATCTTTCTCAGGTCATCCATACAGTCCAACATGGGAAAGATGTGCTTGGCGTGACGCATGAAGTATGGATAGATGTCATCTATATGACCTGAAGAAAATAATACAGAAAAATATTTCTAAATATAACGGTCACTGAACAAACAGTTTCAACCAAGTAACAGTTACTCCATAAAGAGACAAACCTGCTCCACAGCAGATGTCGTTGAGGATGATGTGCAGGTCGGCAGGGAGCGACGTCATCTCTAGGATATACTTCCTGAAGCTGATGAAGGCCTGGTGGAACAGACGAGCTGCATGTGCATGGAGAGAAAACGGATAGCCAAAGATATCTGGTGTCAAATCTGTGCAAATTTCCCCGCTTGTGTAAAATTACAATTCTCTTCCTAGCTATTCATTCCGTTACTTTCCCATTGTTATGAGTATTGGATAATCCACTAAGTGTTGTCAATCAATTCTTTTATGCTGACAAAGAGAAGTTCCAGTCAAAAAGTTGTAGTCAATCATGATAACTAATGAGAAGATACTAGGCGTTGGCCATGTTATGTTAAAAGACACTGGAGAACCTTCAGCACCACTTATTAAAAGATTTAAGTGAGTCTATATATATATATATATATATATTTCACCCTGTGTGGATTAGAGAGAACCCTAAATAAATTCAAACCTTGATGAGTGTATGTAAAATTCTGACCACATCTGTATATAACCTATTTGTCAACATATAAACAAGGTTATTAGACAGAGGAAATCTCTTTCTGGCATATGATCACTGGCTTGTGGCCTTCCATGGCTAAATACACACGATCAACAGATGACAAGTTTATTTTCCTCACCATCCAAACCCGAGTCCGCTGCCAGCTTCTGCATCTCTTTCCTTTTGTAAAACCGATTCAGAACCTTCAGCAGCTCATCTGAATCACAGACACAAACAGCAGAGACGATGTTGCATCATCTGAGAAAATCACCCCCACCTTTATAATCATTCGCAACCAATAGAACAAGTATACACTTTAATAAATAAAAAAATGTTAAAAAAACAAAAGACAACACCCAGTATTATCTTGTACATTATTAAGTTCAGAGTAGTTTAACTGACCAACTTAGGTTTCGTTTACTCACTTTTATCCAGCGGCTGGGTGAGCTCTATTCCCACACCGCCGTCTGCCGAGGCGTCTGCCTTCAGGGAGACGGGGACAAACAACGAGGTGTCCGGAGGTTTCGGAGAGGAGCTGTTAGATGAAACATCCCTGCTCCAGACCACTGTACCGGGTCGATGCTGTCCCTGTAACAAACTAGATCCAGAGGACGCATGACAGCTGCTGGTGGTGATGCGAGGGGTCCGGGAGTTAAAGTGACGCTGAAGCCGAGAAATGAAACAAACACAGCGGTTCACCGACATGTCGGCTGTGGGCGAGATCCTCAAGGACTACACAAAGTTTGCCAGGCTCACTCCATACGACCAGGTAAGTGTGAATAAATGGCTCACACAGCAACAGAGGACGGTCAACACACTCCTCTTCCTGACCTGCTGGTAGCACAACGTGCTGCAGGACCAGTCCGTATATAGGCCCCCACATATGTGCCTGAGTAAAAAGAAAAAAAATAAATAAATTGCTGTCGAGATTAATGATTGTATAATAGATAGACGACATGGTGTCACTTCCTCAAACTGTACTAAAACCAACAAATAAATCGAAAGTTTATGGGGAATATTATGTCACATACTTGGAGTTAGAGTCTGCGCAGTAGTGGTTTGGGGTGAAGTCGCTCCCTCCCACCAGTAAAACTGTTAAATGTGGATGGTTAAACTCCCTCCTCTAAGTTCCTGTTAGTAAATGATTTAATTGTTGATCGACATATTGGTTTGCTCTGTCTTACAGAAAGTTGGCTACAGCAGGATGATTATGCTAATTTTAATGAATCAAGGGTTAGAGTTAGATTAACTGGCAGAATCCTAGAACCACGGGCTGAGGAGGGGGAGTGGCAGCAAGTTTTCACACCAGCTTCTTTTTTCTTTTTCTTTTTTAAAATCAACCACAGACCCAGACGACTTTAATTCTTGTGAATGTCTTACTCTTAGCCTTGTCCTCTCTAACTGGGAACACTGATAACCAATTTTATTTGTTGTTATCTATTCCCCACCTGGCCTTTACTAAGATTTTCTCCTTCTCACTGTCTCTTTAGTACTTAGTTTAGTTAAAATAATTACTGTTGACGAATTTATCCATGTAGATGAAAATGTCAGAATCAATACAGCATTTAATCTAGTATTAGATTTATTTGGATTCTCGCAAAATGTAAAAGAGCCCACCCATTGGAGTCTGGAGCTTGTTCTGACATGTGCCATAGAAACTGAATATTTAATAGAATTCCTTGAAAACCCAATTTTGTCTGATAATTTCTTAATATCATTTAAATTTGCATTAATGGATTACACAGCAATGGGCGATCGTGGCTCAAGAGTTGGGAGTTCGCCTTGTAATCGGAAGGTTGCTGGTTAGAGCCCCGGCTTGGACAGTCTCGGTAGTTGTGTCCTTGGGCAAGACACTTCACCCGTTGCCTACTGGTGGTAGTCAGAGGGCCCAGTGGCGCCAGTGTCTGGCAGCCTCGCCTCTGTCAGTGCGCCCCAGGGCGGCTGTGGCTACAATGTAGCTTGCCATCACCAGTGTGTGTTAGGATGCCTGGGTCGTCAACCCAGGGCTTTTGAGTTTATATTATTTATACTGTCTAGTTTTTGGTTTCTTTGAGTTCTATCTAATGGCTTATGTCTCTGTCTTCTTTAGTTGCTCTGTCTCCCCTATCACCTGCATCCCCTTGTCTAGTTCGTGTCTATGTGTATCTTAAGTTCCTATATCCCCGTGTTCAGTCAGTGTTTGTGTCTGCCCTGTTCCCACGTCTCTGTTCCCTTTTGTTATAGTGCCTGCCCGTGAGTCTGTGTTATGTTTCCTGTTTTACTTTGAAAGTCCATGTCTGATGTTAATGTGTCTGGTTTTGCTTCCCCCTTGTCTCGTTAGGCCTGATTTGCCCCAGCTGTGTTTCCCTCCTGTTACCCATTCCCTGATTGCTCCACCTGTGTATTTAAGCCCTGTGTTTCTTGGTGTCTGTGTCGCGATCTACTGTTTTCCTAGCTGTGTGTTCTGTCATTTCTCCTGGTTAAGTTTGTTTTGTTATATTTTGAGTATTAAATTAAAGCCTTTTTTGAGTTCACGTCTGTCTCCGGAGTCTGCACCTTGGGTCCTATTCCTGCCTGCACACAGCCTCACCTAACAGTGTGTGAATATGTGTGTGAATGGGTGGATGACTGGTTGTGTAAAGCGCTTTGGGGTCCTTAGGGACTAGTAAAGCGCTATACAAATACAGACCATTTACCAATGGGGAAGACATTTTATTATAGTAGATGTCTTTTTGCTGTAACCAAATGTAACAATATAATTTCTCCTCAGTTACTTTCTTCAATACAGTGTGCCAACACAGTCACAGAGCTCTGTTGAAACAAGCTTTCCTTTAACCCTAACTAGTATTGACTTCACAAGTTTCTTCACAAACAAAATTTAACCATTAGAGAAAAAAATATTCATAATCATCTCACAGATGTATCATTATGTTCAGCCTTTACCACAGGCCTTTAAGGTGGCAGTTATTAAACCATTAGTTGAAAAGTCATCACTTGACCCAGTTGTCTTAGCATCTAACCAGATCCTTACGCTGAATGGCATTGTCTTGATCTACAGTAACATTGTGAGGAATCGTGGAGTCATTTTTGTGTAGTTAATGTGTTGTGTAGTCATTGTTGTGTTTTGTGTGTCAGTGAGGGCACTAATGAATGTCACATAGGCAGAATGCAACGTGAACACTGTCTCCAGGTGGAAAACAGAAGGAGTGATACACCTCCTGCTGTCAGGCCTGCAGGGTTTCTCCCTGTGGTGTTCTTCTCTCACTTGTGGTGGACATTTTTATTTTTTTACTGGCGCAAATAATTTGTGGGGCATCTTATTGTGACACCCGATTGTTCTCTCATTAAGTAGTATTTTTTTTTTTAACTTTTAACTAGTTTTAAAAATGTACAATTTATATTTGCATTTCAAGTTATGAAAATAATTTACTAAACATGTCTGTGGTTTCAGTAAAAAGAAAATATAACTACTACTAGGATTTTATGTTTTTGTGTGATTTCAAATCAGTTGTGTTAATACAGTATGTTAATGAAAAAATAACTGCAAATTCAGACATGTGAGGTTGTGCTGAAAAAAATGATACCAAGCAAGGCAAGGTAAAAAACAACAACAACAACCAAAAACAAAACAAACAATCAAAAGTAGCCAGAAATGGCCAATTATATTTTGGACCTCAGAATATTAATCCAACAAATCATGAAAAACTGTGTTACCACCTTTTAAATGTTCTACTTATTGGGTACATATTTATTTATTATACAAGCTATACATTACATAATATTAAAATTCACATGTTTAATGTAACTGAAATGTTTCATTATGTGGGCTACATGAATTAATAAAGAAGTTATAGACTATATTTATATGAAACATGGGTATACTTACTGCATTTTCCTCTTTATAACCATATGTAACACCTACATATGTGTTTAAAAAAAGGCTTTGATTTTGTTACCCCATTTGATTTCCATGCCACCCTTGAAAAAATTCTCTAGATCTGCCTGTTTTCACAAAGTATATAGTCAGGACTGGATCAGGTGACTCTGAATCCTCCCTTAGTTACACCACATTAGGCCTAGGCTGCTTGGGGCTTGCATTGAGTCTATCTTCTTCACTCAGCTATTTCAATCATGATGGGCTTATATACCACTCTGCATTAAATCATTAGTTATTATTAATCTCTGATGCTCTTCCACAGTGTTTCTTCTGTCCTCTCACTTTCCCCATGACCCCCAACTGGTTGCAGCAGTTGGTTGCCCCTCCCTGATGTCACAAACACTTCACATGATCCCCAGATAAAGCACAGAAGCTCTGGACTTCTACATAATGATGCTATATTCAGTCCTGTAGAAACTTATATTATTAAAATGTATATTACTGTCTCTTGATTACCTTATGCCAAATAAAACAAAAAAATACAAAACACTGTTCTACATTAAAGTTTTTAGTTCAACATACAAGTGAAGACCTTTGACCGTCTATCAGATTTTATTTAATGTTGTCAGAGAAAGATATCGTTTCACTTTCATGAAGGGGACTACATGTCAGTGTTAAAAGCAGAAGCCGTCTGTGATCAACAGCTATCTTATACACCAAATTCAGTTACTGTTTATGCTCCTGAATGTAAAGAGCAGCGTGTAAATGGTCAAAGATAAGGATATATACACTATTATTGCCAAAGCTATTTGCCTTCACACACATATGAACTTGAGTCCCATCCCATTCTTAATCCATTGGGTTTAATATGAAGTTGGCCCACCCTTTGCAGCTATAACAGCTTCAATTCTTCTGGGAAGGCTTTCCACAAGGTTTAGGAGTGTGTTTATAGGAATTTCTGACCATTCTTCCAGAAGTGCATTTGTGAGGTCAGACACTGATGTCGGACGAGAAGGTCTGGCTCGCAGTCTCCGCTCTAACTCATCCCAGAGGTATTCTATTGGGTTGAGGTCAGGGCTCTGTGCAGGCCAGTCAAGTTCATCTACACCAAACTCATTCATCCACGTCTTTATGGACCTTGATTTGTGCACTGGGGTGCAGTCATGTTGGAGCAGGAATGGGCTATCCCCAAACTGTTCCCACAAAGTTGGGAGCATAAAATTGTCCAAAATGTCTTGGTATGCTGAAGAATTAAGAGTTTCGTTCACTGGAAGTAAGGGGCCAAGCCCAACTCCTGAAAAACAACCCCACACCATAACTCCTCCTCCACCATACTTCACACTGGGTACAATACAGTCAGACAAGTACTGTTCTCCTGGCAACCGCCAAACCCAGACTTGTCCATCGCATTGCCAGACAGAGAAGCATGATTCACCACTCCAGAGAACACGTTTCCACTGCTCTAGAGTCCAGTGGCGGTGTGCTTTACACCACCGCATCCGGTGCTTTGCATTACGGTTGGTGATGTAAGGCTTGGGTGCAGCTGCACAGCCATAGAAACCCATTTCATGAAGCTCTCTACGCACTGTTCTTGAGCTGATCTGAACGCCACATGAGGTTTGGAGGTCTGTAGCAATTGACTCTGCAGAAAGTTGGCTACCTCTGCGCAGTATGTGCTTCAGCATCCACTTCCCCCGTTTTGTAATTTTACGTGGCCTCCCACTTCGTGGCTGAGTTGCTGTTGTTCCCAATCGCTTCCACTTTGTTATAATACTACTAACAGTTGACTGTGGAATATTTAGTAGTGAGGAAATTTCACGACTAGACCTGCTGGACAGATGGCATCCTATCACAGTACCACGCTGGAATTCACTGAGCTCCTGAGAGCGACCCATTTCTTTACATTTCTTTACATTTCTTTATTTTTCTTACAAATGTTTGTAGAAGCAGTCTGCAGGCCTAGATGCTTGATTCTTTTTTTTTTTCCAATCACTTCCTGTGGCCACAGAAGTGATTGGAACACACAAATTCAATGATTTGGATGAGTGAATACGTTTGGCTATAGAGTGCATCATGATACAAGTTACATTATTATATCATTCCTTTGTTTTTGTCTTTAACTTTCTCATTGAAGCAGCTTTTGACCTTTTTTATCAGTTAATTTTGGATTTACAGTAAATTCACTACAATATTAAATGAGTGTATTCAGCATTAACGGTTAAAATGTGGGAAGATTTGTCTGCTGTCACTGGATCGTGCTGAAGTCTGAATTTGAGGGCAGCTCCTGTAATCACAAACAGAAAAGAATCATCAATCAAATGTGAAGTTTATTCCTCAAAGCTGAAATGAAGTTTGATCCTTCTCAGTCCTCACACACTTCAGGTTCATAAGTTCTGAGCTTACATTTTTTTCAGTCTACAGTTTTGCTGACAGCTAACAGGTGGACTGTTTGTTAAAAAAAAAGACAAAGCTCTATAAATATAAACAGATTATCAAGTATAATATTTCACCTTCGAGTTGTTGATTTACAAAGATGAGCTGATGGGACAGGTTTCCAATCCTGGTTTAGTTGTGTTGCTGCATCAGGGTCATCTGCAGGAAAACTCAAAGAAACATATGGCGGTTTTATGACCACGTTTGAGCTGTTGCTTTAGCATTGAACAATATATATTAACGATTCATATTATTTCTCTCAAAGGATGTAAGCTGCACAGAGTACGGCACATGTAACTGTGTTAGCAACAAACTGAGATATTAGCTAGAGACTCGAGCTGATATTACAGGCAGTTTGTGAATGAATTAATACCGTGAGAATATTTTCAATCCCCTCAATATTTCATCTTTGGTGATTACAGCGTTTAATCTGTTCATGTGAGGTTGTAGAAGTGCATGACACGTTTGTTGTGTTCTAGTGTTACTGTTTGGAGAGAGGAAGCTGTAGAAGAGTCCAGCTCACTCATGTCACAGTAACGCATGATTTAGACTTCTGCAGGGAGTCTGCAGAACTAAGGGAAACACTGGTTTGTGACTGAGCAGTAGTGGTGTGCAGGATTGGAAATTTTGGTATTGATCTGATACCAAGTAATACAGGGTCAGTATTGCTGATACCAATACAGATATGTTTTTAGCCTCTAAACGCCTCATCTTAAACTACCTGCAGCCGGTTTGATCATCCTTCAGCTCCGTACAGTCAAAGCAATAGAGCTAATGTCTGGACTACAGCAGATACTTTAATTAGCATCAAAGCACAAGAGAGTGATTTCTGTATTCAGGGTAAATTCATTCATGTGCACAGATTAACTACTGAACAACAGCTTTCTCCCAACTGCTCTTCTTAGCTAGCTAAAGGCGTTTATTACTGATTAGCGTAGAAACACATTTAATTCACCCAAAAACTGCAACGACGCCTCAGGGCCTTCTGTCGGTTAGTCCGGTTTACTGCAGACCACCTCACCTCAGTTTGAACTGCCCCTGCTCTAGCTTCTTCTTCGTTGGAGGTCAATGGTGGTTGGCAAACCACACTTACAAGTGCATTACCGCCACCTACCTAGTGGATGGTGGACCTGCTGGGTGTTTCCCTCTTCAGTGCAGTGCAGTTTAAACCTGTGTCCTATTCTCAAGCGAGTAAATAACATCTCTTCCTCTGGGTTCCTTCCATATCCATAGAGTTAAATTTATTAAGAAAAATGTTTTTCCAACAAGTTTTATGCATCAACTTATCCAAAGACAGAAGCCTAAAAGAATATTCATTTTGTTTTATGGTATTTGGGGAATCAAGTATACTTTTAGCCATTATCAACCTACCTGCAGATAGAATTGAAGAATTAATTATTACACTAAATTGATCACAAAGACAGCCCACAGCATGACTTTGATTTTTCGAAGCTTTATTTCCTTATGTTCTCAACCATCCTATCCTTTTTTCAAACAGATGTGGCCCCACAGGCCTGTCAGATGAACTCAGGTACTCTTTCATCATCTCTCTGCAGAAATGCACTGGGTTAAAGTAATTTAAAATTGAATCCATTACTTGTTTAATAGTATTTAACAGAATTACTTTTAGCGGTTTTAACTGTGCCGGGACTACTGCTGAGCAATTACACTGACAGTAACCTAGTATTCTGATCAGCGTAAAAGCTACTGATTGATCCTGTAAATTACCCCCTGGTATATTTGTACCCTTGGTTGGAATTCATTGGTCTAAATGCACTTTCTGTCATCCTAAAGAAAAAAAAAAAAAAGTTCAGTATAAATCAACTTTATTTATGATTCATTTTTAGCTAGATATCTGTGTTTAGTGTATATATTTATATATGTATATATATACACACACACACACACATACACACACATTATCATACACACACACGCGCGCGCACACACACACACACACACACACACAATGGCATGATCAGACATTGTGTAAAGATAAACATGCAGTAGATAAGACGGGGGCCGAGAGTTTTGGCTTTTAAGTGTTTCTCCTCGTGACCTTGGACAGTCTTTAAAGAAAACCATTGAAACCCTATTTATACAGTATTCAGAAAGACAAAATATTTCTGCCAAGCAAAAAGAAGTGAAGAGAGCGTTTTTTGCAAATAAATTACAGTTTTCAGACAAGAGAGAACCAGACTCCAAGGCTGGACAACGAAGAGCTGGAGTGCAGATCAGCATTCAGACTTTTCTGAGGTGAAAAGCAGCACAGCTTCATGATACATATATGAAAACTGGGGAACTAAAGCTACAAGTATTTTACATATAAAGTCAAACAAAGCAAACAAACAAAAAAAAAAAATGTAGTGAAGTATAAATGTGTATATAGTTTGTGTTACAGACTCAGGATATCTCTGAGGTGAAGTTGTCCTTGAGTGATGTTTGCTTTCAGCGTCCATGCCTCTTTAGTACAAAGGTAAGCATGACAGGGGAAAAGTGCAAATGGATCAAAGCTGAAGGGCAAAAATCACCCAACACATGGGACTGAACAGTGTCTTTAAAGCAGGACCTAGACTACAGGTCTGAGCATCACAGTGGAACATTGTTGGATTTGACAGTATAACCATACTGCAACTCTTCCAGTGCTTACAACAGCTGACGCGAGCCATTCATCACATTAGTATTTCAAGCACACTAAACCAACAGGTTCAATAAAACAGCATGAAAAAAAGAAGAACAGCGAGTCTACAGGCTGCTGATCATCATTAACCACTTTGTTTCTAATGAATCAAGTTGTAAACACAAAAAGTGTCTTTTGATGTAACAGAACTGTTTTTTTTCAGTCATTTCTTTCAATCCTTGCTTAAAAGTCCAATTCACCCACATTTCAAATAGACATATCTTCTTTAAATTTAACAAGTCTGACTTTTGAGCTTTTTTCCTCTAATAAAGGTGGTCAGAAGAATTTCCTTATAGTGCTAAAGTACTAAAGAGAAAAGACAAAGCTTTTCTTATTTGGAACATGGGTGAACCAAACTTTGAGTTATCTAAGATTACAGGTTAGTGATAGAAAGTGCAGTAAAAATTCAAACTGAACGGGTGTCGTAGCAGCCAAAGACATGAACAGAGAAACTACACCTTCAGATATTTGTGGAGGAATTCCTGATGCAAGTTGTTGAAAACTGACATCTTCATTGATCTGCATATGTTACACCTGAAATGTGTGAAATGATGTATTGATGATGCTTGTGGCATTAGTTCATTAATCAATCAGAGAATCAAAAATCAAACATAATCAATTCTCCTTCTCCAGTGTGAGGATTTGTTGCATTTTTCTCCATTGTATGATTGTATATTGACCATCTGGCACTTTGTAGTCTTAGAGATAAATAACTGCTAGCTGAGGTTCAAAATGATGATTTTATGAACCTGATGTCCACGGTGAATGACGTTTTCCTTATTGAAATGTGTTTTGGACTGGAGCTAGAAATGTGTAAAACATCAAACAAGGGGTAACCTTTCTGTTGGGCTGGAAGCAGTTACAGTAACGAAAATATTTAACTGAGAAGTTCCTTCTTTTCCCAGCTCCATGGATGAATAACACCTGATATGAATAAATACAGAACTTGGGTGCTGACTCACATTCTTTGTTCGGGCTGATCCCACCCCACATCATGAATACCTTCACTTACTGGGTCCATCGAGACTCTAGAAAGTGACACTTTGTAGAGTATCTGGGCGAGATGCAAGAGGAAGTCTAAGAGCAGTGCTGTTCAGAAAGCAAACAAAAAGAAGCTCCTGCTGCAGAATAACAAGATAAAATGGTGCGTTGGTCTGTAGCGCTCTCTTCTTTTCCGTCTTTGCTCCTGTTTTATTCCGCATGAAACCCGACTGTATGGCTTCAGTTGTGTGTGCTTGAGTGTGTTTGCAGTCCGAGACGTCAGGATGATAAAAAGGCTGTCTCATTCTTCGTTACTTGGGTTGGTTTGTTTTGCGCGCTTGCCTTGACATGTAGCATTCAGCAGACTCAGACTGTGTGCATCTGTATGCGAGTGTGTCTACGTCCTGGGGCGGGGCGCGAAAGAGAGTGATGATGGGCAGCTCACACCTGACGCTGTGAAGTGGTGCGGGGGGCGGGGAAGGGGGATGCCTGAAGGTGTGTTACGTGTATTTATGAATACAGACATTTCTCAGTCCAGGAAGAGAGTGGGGGCAGGCCTCACATCTCTGGCTGTTCAGCAGTGACGAGCTGTGGTGCGTCTGCATGTATTATCAGTTCTTAGCCCGGCCCTCACATCTCTGGCTGCTCTGCAGTTACCGGCTGGGTTCGGGGCTCGGGAGACTCGTAGCGCTGGTGGAAGTTTCTTTTCCTCAGCTTCTCTGGAGCTTTTCTCCACAAAACAATCTCCTAAACACAGACACAGAGCAGCAAAAATAAAAATACGGTAATGCATGTTTTTAATGTAGAACTATTCATGTACTTATCATATGGAAAAGTTAAGCAAGCTGGAGGTCAGGGTGGGGCTGCATATTGCACATCGGCACAGAGCCACACACCACAATTAAATTACATTAAACTAAAAACAGCAGTTGCTGAGATTATAACGGCTGCAGCCAGTTCAACTTAATGTCATTTTAATTATGTCAAAATGATCCATCAAAGAGATAATTAATAAATGTGCCTAAGACACTATACGTCCTTTATCCCCCCCCCACACACACACACACACACACACACACACACACACACACACACACACGCTTTTAGAAACGAAATCTAGATATAATCAAGCACAATTGAAATTTATGCAACACGAAATTTTATTTACAAATGTGAAGTTAATATACCAACTAAGGTGGGCTAAATTATGGACGTATACGTGAATGAAATCAACTGTGATTCAGTGCTGGTATATGTTGTATCCACTGGCCAATTCATTGGATATGCCTATTAAACTGTATAGTACAAGTATCTATTCAGCCAATCACATGGAAGCATGTAAACATGGTTAAGATGTCCAGCTGAAGTTCAAACTGAGCATCAGAATGGGGAAATAAGTCAAATTAAAAAGACTTTGAACGTGTTATGGCTGTTGGTGCCAGAGTGTCTGAGCATTTCAAAAACTGCTGATCTACTGTGATTCTCCCACATATGGAATGAAATCAGGGTCAAAAAGTTATTTGAAACTAAAATTCTAAGTTTTGATATTTAAAAACATAAAAAATGTGTTAAAAAAAAAAAAACACAACAAAAACAGAAATGTTGCAAAAATGTGTTGTGAGCATGTATCAAAGGGGAAGGGCGGGGCATAGACTAATGAGTGACACCTACTGTGTCACGTTTGTTACAAATTAAAAAGCGGTATTTTGATTGAACATGGCCACTGCTCGTTCACAGGATGCCGCCGGTACCACCCAACAGGTAAGAAACACGGTCTTTGATCATCTTGTGATGGACAGAAATAAATAATATACAGAAATGAACAGGCGAGTCTTAGATTTCTTTACAGCATTCATAGCTCTTTTAGCTCAGCGACCTACCAGCCAATCAGATAACAGTATTCCCGTAACAAAAGGGTTTGAAACAAACAAAAAAAAAAATTACTTTGAAGCTGCATGAAAACAAATAATTTATTAAAAATAAAGTAATTTAGGTTTTGCAAACACATTTTGTTTTTGTTTCAAATATGAAAATAATTTCAGTTTCTAATCACTTTTTCAAATGAATGAAACCTTTGACCCTGATTTAGCTCCACAGTCATCTCTACGGCTGGCCCCAAAAAAGAGAAAATATCCAGCGAGCAACAGCTGGTCTGGAAATGGCTCCTTGAAGTCAGAGGTCAGAGGAGAACACACTGACTGCTTTGAAAGGATCAAAAGGCAGCAGTAACTTAAATAACCACTTGTCACAACCAATGTATGCAGAGGGACATCCGTGAACACACAACACATCGGATCTTGAAGCAGATGGGTTACAGCAGAAAGATCGCTTTGGATGCCACTCCTGTCAGCTAAGAATAGGAAACTGCAGCTACAATTCAGAGAAGCTCACCAAAAATAGTACTAGCAAGGTGCACCTAATAAAGTGGCCAGTGGCTGTAAATACATTAATCACTTTTTGTGATCAAAGCAGGATTTAAAAGTTCCTGGTGTTGTTCTCTGGCCCACTTCTGTTTTCCTTTGTGCACTGCATATCCACAGCCCTGCTGTTCTGTCTAAGGTTACCACTCATTTAGCAATTAGCGTTACAGCATTAGGAATCAAGTGCATCATTATTTTGGTACCGGATCCCCTCAGTTTCCTGATGGAACTACAGATTCTAATAACAAAAATCAAAAACCCTGCACCTCTCTCCAGAAATAAATAAATATACACAATATAATTTCACAATCACACATATATAACACAGCCCGTTTATTTGGAGTGGTGGTGACTTACCTGTTGTTTAAAGTATCTCCTGTCCTCTTCGTCCACCAGCACCAGATTAAGGAAGTAGCGTACAGAGAACTTCTTGTTGACATCCCTCATGGTGGGTGTCAAGTCATATCCTGTAAGGAAACATGAGGGACGATTAGATGTCACTAACAAAAAACAAAACAAAATAAAAAGCAAACAAAAACTGGCCTGTTTGACTGTTTCATGACGAGGGAAGTTAACAGGAAAAGCGATATCCTGATGATAGGAGTCTGGATCAGCACTCAACATAATAGCTGCCAAAGAGGAGATGAGCTCTTACCAGCCAAGAACAGTCTGATGGGAATTGATTCTCCTTTAACTGGGGCTCCATCCATGATCTCGTACTTAGCAACCGTCTCTGTCTCTGTGGTAGTACTGGGACCTGAAAAGGAGGACAAGGACTTTACTACCGGAGACAAAATATTAAAGTGGAGCAAAGTTTCCAGTACTCTTAGTGGGACACAGTTGGTTTACAGAGAAGAAAAGAAACCAGGTTTAAAAGCTGAGAGGAGATGAACTACAGAGTTAATCCAAGTCCACAATGACTTGTCATTTATATGCTCTATCTAGGTTACTTTATTTTTATATGTGGCTGCCCTGGATTCTCACCTATGCCTGTTATCTCCTTCTTAATGAGCTGCAGCTCCATGTGTTGGATCTTGATTCTGACCAGCAGGAAATAAATCTTCCCAACAATCACATCCTTGAGGTGGTACCTATAAGAAAGGCATAAATGCAAGTAAAGACAGCTCTTATTTAGATTTGGGATTTTCTGCAGTGACAGAGCATTAACTTGTTCATTTGATAAGTTAAAGTCACATTGCTCTTACTTGGATTTATTGTATTCAAACTCGATGTGAAGACAGTCTTCTATGCCGACCTCCATTTTGATCGAATTGTTGATGTCAGGGTAGGTGGCTAACTGATGGACAATTAACTCGTATTCCTTCACCAAGTCAGACAGGCGCCGAACTATTGTCACCCTGAGGAAGTATCTGCAAGTCGAACACGACAACACACCAAGCTATAAAAGTCAGACTGAAATCATACAGATTTTTTTTTCTCTATTAGAAATAAAATGCATTAAAAAAAAAGAAGTAGCTGAACAAAAAAAAGCTTGATGGATACCATTAGTGCACAAGAGTGATGGCCAGCTGAGGCATCACTTAGTATGTTTTATATCCTGTTAACAATTGTCCATGAAAGTTTCACCTCAAACAAACTTGGCCTGAACATTTTAACATAAGTGTTCATGAACACTTATGTGTGTCATGTTCATACTCTATCTCAAAGGTTGTTTCTGTCTGCTTAATTTTTGATTAAATCTTATACAGGGTCATTAGTTTCTCTCTCCTGCACGATGTGTGTGTGTGTGTCTTTTAATTAAATAGTATCTGAGTCACACTTGCATGTGGAGAGTACAGTGTGGAGTGGAGGAGAGACAGGCAAACTGAAAATAAAACAATTTGAATTGATGACATTTGATGACTGTAACTGTAAATGAAGAAAAAACAAAAACATCCAAAAAGCGGTAATCTGTGTCACAGCGAGCTCACAAGCCCTGCACCTACTCAGTAGTAAAGACTATTGAGAAATCTGACAGAAAATAAACATTACATAATAGGTTGTGTCACCTTAGCCTAACGTTGGCTCCAGTATAGGACTCATAGGGCTTCTCCACCTGCATGAACTCAAAGTCGTAGCTTCTGTTCTGGGTGAGCTCTCCCGGTAAAGCCAACTCTTTGACCAGGTCCACAAACTCGTGGGTGTTGCTCTTATCAGAGAAAAGCTCTGAAATATAGCAGAGAGGATTCAGACTGGCTGAAGGTCTGATTGCTTTGAATTCACTTAAAAAACAAACAAAAAAAACCCCAAATCTGTATTTATTAGTTTTATTTGAGCATTTCATTCTCTTTCAACACACTGCACTCATTATCTTTGTCCCAAAGCAAATACAGTTGGAGGCGGGGGTTAGCGGCACTACGGCAGACCTGCACATGATAACCACATGCCCTGTTAAACCTTTCAGCCATGTGATAAAGCCACATTAACATTAGCATCAACCATGCTCACCTATCTGTCCAACAAACTCGATGCGGATCCCCTGGTGCTCCAGCCGCTTTCCTCCCTGCTTCACATTTAGATTCACCTGAAGAGGAAACATTTGTTGAGAACAAGTTTCTTCTTGCTTGCATGAACTGGTGCTATATGAATAAAAGTGGACTGAACAGAAAGATAATATTCTGACATGCTACCAGCATAATGTTCCTTTAAAGGGCTTTTCTTTTATGATTATTGTGCATATTTCTTTATAACTAACATATATTCCTATTTGCTTGCCGACTTTCAACAAACCTGTAATAATTTCTTCTCCAAAAATAAATCTCCTCACATTTCTCTGCTTGACAGCTGTTAGGTAATCACGGTGAAAACTGTTTATTACAATCAACATCAATGGTGAATATCTTTCTGCTGTTACCACACTAACTGACCTTTTACTTGATTTTGAGTTGTGCTGGATAACAGAAGTCAACAGTGAACAAGGCACATATCAGACTGCTCAATAGAGCTCATGCACAGCAACAGCAGACGCAAAGCCGAAGCCAAAGCAAGTCTTGCATGCTCATCAAAAAAATCGTAATTTCCCACTGGACTTAAAGCAATGAACCCAAAATAGACTGAGAAGTCCATTATACACTGACTGACTGAAACTATCTGCTGCGCAGAAAATGAGAACAAACTTAAGCTATGCTTCACATGTGCAGGACCCACATTGTGACATGTGATAAATGACGCAAACACAGTTTACCTTTCCAGAAACCGACTCTCCATCGTAGAACAGGTAGTGTTTCTCCACTTTCCCATCTTCTGTTTTCAGCTCGGCCGTCTTTCTGTTCTCTGCATCATTCAGCAGTACATCTATCTCACAAACTGGCCCGAACAATCCTCCCAGGAAACTCTAGAAACACAAAAACATTCAGAGGATGAAATTCAGAGCAATCAACATGCTATGTAATCAAACATATGCTGCTTTTAAAACAACTAAAGAGAAATTGCAGCTAGCTGTAATAAGAAGCCCTGAGCTGTGCTGTAGCTTCCATCAACATGAATCTGCCCTAAAGACAAATGACTTTGTTTACACACAACCCCAACAAAATGTTGCAGTGATAACAATGACAGTTATAGAGAGAGATGCCAGGTTAGTGTCCTCATCTGTGATGGAAGCTCTGACATGAATATCACATGTTAAAACCCACTATCTCACCTCCTACTTATTTACGGCATCTGTTATTGCCATAACAACCAATTCACCAGTCACTATCTGCACAGTCGCATTATTTTCCTCTGAGCTGGCACAAAGTCACAAACAAATGCTTCAACATGCAGAAGCAGCAAATCACCAAGAATGAGCTCAGTCATCAAGTATTTATATAAGATGAGAATCAACACTGAAGTAAACTCTTCATAGAACCCCCCTACCCCCAAATTAAACAAATTATCAGCTACCCAATCACTATTGAAAGCCGACCCTCGAATCAATAAGCGAACAACCCTTTGCCCTTAATCAGAAAATGAATTGGCTTAATTTCTACGGTTATTGCAGTAATTCAACATGCATGTGACGGCACAACTTCACTGAGCTAACGATCAGCAACGTCTGCTAACAGTGACATTTGTTTGAACCACTCATCTACCCGACTTTTTGACCGAACTCAAATACTTGCCTTAGCAATCAACACGTTTAACTGCTGGCATCATGCTGCTGGGCCATTAGCTAACCAAAACATCACGATCATTGAGAAAGACGGCCTCCTAGCGATGCTAATTCGACCAGCCCAGCTAGCTTTCTTTACAGGGTTGAGTATTAAAATTAATTGCTTCCTCAGAAAAACGGAAACTCGTGTTAATGTTATATTTTCATGAACAAGAAACACCAAACACCGCCTCCAATTTTACTGTAGCCTGACCAGTCAATGTTTGTTTTTACACTTACCATCTCGGCCGTCTAGACAGTTTTGCTAACAGCTAGCCTCGCTTCGTGTAGCCAGTCTGTCACTGAACTAGGGCTAACCGTCATGTGACCCGAATCATGTGTATGTGGGCGGCCACGGATATGGAGGATTGGAGGTTGAAGGCACTCACGAATACCGGTACCACCTAACAATTAGAAAGGGGGAAAAAAGCCATAACCTGTATAGGTAAGGCTGCTGGTTGAGTTCATGTATTTGCTGTTGGTGCAGACTTTAAAGGTAGTTTTTGTAGTTACTTTCTGCACGTTTTAACTAAAACATTCACCACCAGGGGGCAGCATAATTCTAGTTTTTGTTTGTTTTTTGTTACCTCAATTTCCTCTATAGATTTAGCTTTATTGCCCAACCCCCATTGTAAAAAATTATTCTTAAAGGTTTGCCTGATTAATTAAAGATTATCCTGACTTACTATAGCTTCTTGTCATTCCAGGTGTTTGCAAAACGTTCAGCTATACTTAATTGGAAAAACCCTGACGTGTGTAAGTCAGTATCAGTGGTGTAAAGCGAGGTGTGGATTCGCTGGCAAATATGAGGCATGTTTTGTAAGGGCAAAACCAAACCAAAAGATAATGCAACCTTAGAAACCAAGCGGGCTACACGGCGTGGACATGGCAGAAGCACTGACACAGCCAGTAGCACGTCTACAGGAAGGCAACATTTAAATGTGCTACATCAGGGGCAATTCCAAACCCCAAGGGCCAGTGTCCTGCAGGTTTTAGATCTCACCTTGGGTCAACACACCTGAATCACATGATTAGTTCGTTACCAGGCCTCTGGAGAACTTCAGGACATGTTGAGGAGCTAATTTAGCCATTTAAATCAGCTGTGTTGGTTCAAGGACACATCTAAAACGTGCAGGGACACCGGCCCTCGAGGCCTGGAGTTGCCCACCCCTGCGCTACATGGACAAAAGCGTTGGCTTGTTAGCTCTGTTGTGGACACTGACACAGCGAACTGGAGACTGGATGACCAACTCATTCGCGTTATACTCATCATGTTTAGATGGAATGCAATTTCTTGTCGGACAACTCCATGACATCTCAAAAAATACAGAGATGTCGTGGTACCCACCTGTCCACACGGATCTTTGTCTGATGATGAAATCTATGTCTCGATCCCAATACGAGCTGCTAAGCCATGGAAACCCACAGTGTGAAGCTCTTGGTGCATGGTTTTTATGCTGATTTTAACGCCAGAGGAGGTTTGGAGCGTTGCAGTAATGAAGTCAGCAAAGTGTTGGTGACTTTTATCCACTATAAGCTTCAGCATTCATAACTTGGCATGGTCTGCCACTTCATGGCTGAGGAAATGCTTGTACTTTCCAATAATACCACTTAGAATTTATCGTGGCATATCCAGAAGGGAAGAAATAAACAGCTTAGTGCAAAGGTGGCATTTTAGTACAGTACAAAGCTAGCATAGCATGGAAGGAAATTGATTTCCCCATTGAGACTAAAAACATATGATTTCATATGAAACATATGAAAATATGAGGAAGCCGTTTTACAGCTGTAAATTAAGTTCAGTGCCACTTGGTGGGCGAATAAATAATTTCAACAGTGTTCTAATATTGGCCACAAATTTAACAGTGGAAAATCTGAAGACAACCTACAACAGAAGCTTGTTTCTGCCACTGAAAAAAAGAATAGAAGTGAATAGAAATTTCAGGCCATTTTCTCAAAAGGAATAAAGTTAGAGTTTCAAGATATTTCTCCATTTTGATTATTTTCTCACAAGTCTGAAATTTTGAGATAGTAAACTTAATTTTTAATTATTACGGAGCCCCCCAGGGGACATGGGAGAAAAAAAAATTAGGGAGGAAAAAAAAAAAATTAGGGAGGAAAAAAAAAATTAAGACGGACTTTTGCGAGATCTCGCAAAAGTATCGGCCTGCAAGTAGCGAGTCTCGCAAAAGTATTGCGAGATCTCGCAATAAGTATTGCGAGCGCTCGCAAAAGTATTGCGAGATCTCGCAAAAGTTTTAGCCGCATTCTTCGGAGGCCGCCAGCTCGAAGCCGACCGGGAGGTCGAGGCACGATGTGCCGGGAAAGCGGTGTTCCTCCCGGCTGTAGTAGGTCTCGACCTCCCGTTAGCTTCGAGCTAGTGGGTGTCAGATCTCCAAAAACCTCGGAGCTCTTTTGCAAATATGTGATGTCTTGTAAACCGAGCAGGTATCTGACGTTTACACAACTACATTCACGCCTCAAAATATCTTAAAAGTGTATTTTGTGACCCAGAAAGAGTAATATTACAACTAAGTAGCTGCCGCCATTGTTGGAGTTTTGCGAGATCTCGCAATACTTTTGCGAGCGCTCGCAATACTTATTGCGAGATCTCGCAATACTTTTGCGAGCTCGCAATACTTTTGCGAGATCTCGCAAAAGTCCGTCTTAATTTTTTTTTTCCTCCCTAATTTTTTTTTTTTCCTCCCCAATTTTTTTTCCTCCCATGTCCCCTGGGGGGCTCCGTAAATTATAGATGGCAAATATGTACTTTTTTCTAGTGAAAATAGCTCCTGATGTTGCTTGCAAGTACCGTATAAAAAAATCAAACGCTTGAATAATAGAAGGTACCTCAGTTTAAATTACTGAGGAACTTGACATATATGAAAGCAGTTATGAGAACAGATAACACAGTAGTAGGGATAAAATAAACACTTTATTGGTAGAAGTTTTTTTCAAATTGAAATTACAGAGTTTGTTAAAAATGCATGTGTGTTTATAGTACATATTTCGAATATGTTCTAACTCTGGTTAGGACTTTCTGAACCCATTTCTGAGGGGTTTGCGTCTTGAAGATGATCTCGTTTAAATCTTGAGCCGGAATATTTTTCAATATTCCCAGGTTAGGCATAAAATGTTGCAGGATTTGTGAATAAAGGGATCAAATAATTTAAATAAGTGTTTCTAAGGAACACGTTCCTTAAAACTAAAAAAAATGGCTGGAGTAATGCAATGCATGGACAAAGGCATGCTTTTATTGCACTGGTATTACAATGATTTAAAAGAATATTTTTATTTATATTTAAAAAAGCATTTGAAAGCTTTTTTCCATAGGAAAGCACAATACTGGCACAATTATTTTCACATTGTTTACAGTCGTTGTTTTGGCCTTTCTGAAAATAATTAATAACAATAACACAGAGAGTACAAAAAATGGCATTTGTTTTTTCCCAGCAGGTGGAGTTTACTATAAGCCCAGACAGGGAATCAAATTAGATGCCAGCCTTGTTTATGTGCTTCGGAGTGGTTGGCAGTCCAGTCTACAGCTGCAGAAGGTGGTCTTCTTTGTAATCACGCTCATCGGGTTTTACCTCATCGCTGGTACGCCTGCTGGCGAACAGCCTCCTCAGGTCACTCATATCTTCAGAGGAGAAAGATAAACAAGGAGAAAGATCAAATTACATGGAGCAAACAAAAGAGAAAACACATGGATTCTACTGAATCCATGCGAATCCTGTCCTACAAAAAATACCTTCACTTTCTTTCCAGAGCATGCCAGAACCAGTCTCACCGAGGTCGCTCTTGTCCGCCATGTATGGACCTTCAGCTGCAGAGCCTTCGTAACCACCAGAACCTTCCTCGCCCAGGAATATTCCAGGTGACTCGCTCAGTTTCGATTCCTCCTCCTCTGCCTCCTCCTCGTATTCCTGCTCTTCCTCATCGTCCTCCTCCATTGGTGAATTCTCATCCTCCACAGGCTCTGCCTCCCTGAAAACACATAAGACGTGAGATAGAGAGATTAGCTGATAAATGTCTCTTCTTTCTCTTTCTGCTGCTCCTTTTACGGGTCGCCTCAACAGATCATCTGCCTCTACACATCTAAACCATCTCAGCCTTCCTGCATTTACTTTGCAGGAAGGCTGGATTTTGTGAAGCACTTTGACCACCTCTGGTTCTAAATGTGCTATACAAATAAAGTTGTACTTTGTCTCCCAGCTCATCTCCCTGAGCTGTCCCTCTGATGTACTCCTTTCTAATCCTGCCCAATGAAAACCTTCACCTCTTCAGCTGTGCCTCCTGTTTTGTGTTAGTGCCAGCATCTCTAAAACATATATAATAGTAGGTCTCTCTACTTTTTGGTAAGCCTTCTCTTTTGCTCTTGCGGCTGTCTTTGCATCTCCAAACTTTGCTCTGATTTGAGACTTTAATATTTGTGTGCATGATAACAACTCCATGAACAGGGATTGAACTGTACTAAAACATCCACATGTTTTTTTTCCTGGCTGAAAGTTTGGGATTTTACTCTAGTCTTTATTTTTTTTCTTACAACCAGCACAGAACGAGGGAAGCTGTTTGGCAGCAGAGAGCGTGAAAAGCATTTGAGATCTCTAAGACAGCAAAGTGTCTGATAACAAAACTATTGACTTTACAACTTTGAGCTGCTGTTGTTAACCTGCCATCTATGTCTCCACCACTTCAATTGCGTTATTTCCTGTCCTCTTCTGCTTTTACACTCCTACCAACAACTTGAATTTCATTGTGACTGCATCATTAAGAACATTTCTACAGTCTTGTAGAGCTTGAGCTTGCTTGCGTATTTGCTTTGCATATATCTTTATCAAATGAAATTTAGTTTGAGAATCTGACTTGAACTGCTTCGTCAGTGGGCTTTCTTTTCCAGGTTGTTGAAATAAATAACTTCATATTAACTAATGATACAAGTAATACATATATAATCCTGTGCTTCTCAGATAGGATTATCCAAAGAGCTTGACACATACAAAAATACAAAACAATAGACCAGAAGCAACAGCCCACTTCCTCTGTACACTTCCTTGTGACTTCCGGTTCAAGGCGTGCTGTAAAAAGGACGGCTGCTGCGGAAGCTCCGGTGATTATAAGCAAGCTTCAGCGAAAAGACTCAAACAAGCCAGACGCTGTTCATATTTAGAGGTTTTTTACATTTCATCACAATGTTAACAGCTGAACCTTTTTACCTGCTACCCTCTAACTCTTGTCTTTGTGTCTGTAATGAGTTTATGGCATGTTTTCTATACACACCTGTGAAAACACAGAACATGTGAAATTCATCCAAGTTTTTATTAAGTTATCTGAAGGTTTGTGTTGTCACAGACG